AAAAAATCGATTTTTCAGATCAAGAATCCGGTTCTGTAAGAAACAGCCTAATGTCCAAGTCAGGAGAAAAAGTGTGCACGCAAAGAGATTCGAACCAGTATCCAGCTGACGCCATATGCGAAGGTGTGGGGGGGTTTATTCGGGATATTTCTACAACTCATCCTCCTTTTGGTTGTTTTATGAAGAGTCTTATCTTCGATTCATGATCATAAATGATCAGCTAAATCTTACTGTAGCTTTAGGATTTGAGCATTGATTTGAGTATAGAATCTGCACATATGATATTCAGGGTGGGCTAGTGTTAAGGAGTGTGGCTGCTAGCATGGATAGGGTACATCTTATTGTTGTAGGATGCGGGTCGGTCAGGAGGTATGCCCTTCTGACTCCTACCCCCTTAGAATGTCTACTCTGTGTACCCCCTGAGATGAAGAAGTTGGGCCCCCACCTCATCTCAAACCCTTGCTGATCGTCTCTCAGCAATAACAAGCGATTTTCCCATCTCCACGTGGTCGTGGACAAGCCTGTCAACGACAGAACCTTCATCTATCTCTAGGAGCAAACTACCGCCCACGGCTTCACCTCCTTGAAATCAGGCACCACACCCACGCACACAGCAGTCCGCGCGGCCAACGAGAAGGCCAGCGCCCAGCGAAAAGGCCCTGGAGTTGGCGCGGCACCAACAAGAGGGAGGCTGCACGGTCAGAAAGCCAAGTTGGGCTTGTTGCTCGGCTTCAGGTCAGCAACACCCGCCCGTCACACACAGACAGGTTGAGGCAAGGGGGAAGAGGAGAGCGAGCGCCGGAACCGCGGAGACAGCGACAACGGATGACTGGCTGACGTAGAGAGAAGAGGTGGTGGCAGCACCGCCAGCAAAGAGGGGCAGACAGACCGGGGGAAGAGCACGCAGTGGGGCCTCCCGGTGTAGACGGGCGCCTCCTTCCCCGCGCAAGATTTTTCACTGCTGCGGTTCTCTGGTAGCATAGAGAGAGAGTTTGACTTGATGTGCCCCCGTCCCAAAAACTTCTCCTCTCCCGAACGCTTGAAATTCAACACAGCAATTATTCGTGCAGCGGCTGCCGGTCAGTAGTCTATAGATACTCCCTCTCTACGTTCTGGGGCGATTTCGTGTGCTGGGGTTGAGGGGGGCCACACAGACACACACGCACACGCATTGCATGCACGCACACTCAACAGCAGTGAGAGAGAGCTGTGTCAGCAGGGTGCAGCTGTCATGCAGCGCACCACAACAAAAGCAGTACCACCACCTGCGGACAGGGGAAGGGTTGGGTGGGGGGTGTACTCATAGTCGTGCATGCCGTAGTCGTTAGACCA